TTAAATTATTTAAATTATTGCCCTCATTTTTCTGCTTTTAATTACTTGTTCGGAAAAATAAAGTCAGCCCTCAAGGATCATCATTAATTATTATTAATTGTCACCCCTACGAATTTCATTTCCTTGCCGCGTTTCTTTCCTGGCTATGTAACCATATACTTTGTCAATGTATTGACTATTAATTAGTATTATTTCATATTTTTATGGATTGGTTAGGCATTTTCTTCTGTTAATGTCAAAGCTTGACCTGCCTTGTCTTCAATGGACCTTATTACCATGTATCAGTATTTCCACAAAAATCGCCTCCGCCGCTATTCATATTGAATAATATTGCCTTCTTTTTTTTTTTCAAGCTGTTCGAATGTTTTTAAACTAATTTATATATATTTTAAGATTAATCTCTCAAATTCAGTTAAAAATACATCATCTATTCTAAATTATGGAATTCATAAGAAATTATTTTTTTTTATTGACCTTCTCAAGAAATCAAACCTTATTTAATAAGGTGAGAAGCAATCTCTTTTACCAAGGAAACCATCACTTTTTTTGAGTATTCATCTTGAATAATATTTCAATGCATTTTTCTTTATTTTACCATTTTTTTCAAGTTAAGATTTTACACCGCATCAGTTATATTTTTTTGGTAATTTCTCTGCCCAAAGACATTTGTAATCAAATTAAAGATATAAATAAATGAATTAAAAGAAAAAAAAGAGTAAAAATTAAGACTCCTCTCTCTCCTCTTCTCAAACCAAATAAACCCTAAGTAACTACTCATTTTTCGGGAGTTACCTAGAAATATATAGTTATTTCTTTTATAACATTTTTTGTTAGTACAAATATGATTGTCACTGGATTAATTTAACAAATTCCATAGTCTTTTACGAAGGGCCATGTTTGATTTACTTGTCAGAGACAATTGATAGTTAGTTAAAAGAATAAGGTTGTTTAAATTATAAGTAACAATAATTATTAATAATTAAATATTAATTATTAGGCTAAACTAAATAAGCCTAAACATACCTTTAAAGAAAATTAAATTGTAGAAAATACAAATTTAGAACGATAAATAAGTTGAGTTATTTATAAATTATTTGACTCAAATTTAAGTTGTGCTTGGTTTGATTTATGTTAAAATACGAATCAAACTCAAAATTTAACATGATTCAATTTAACTCAATGTGATTCAGTTCAATTTAGTTAAACTCAACTATATTAAAACTAATTACATATCAAATATTTAAAATTTTATTGTATTTTAATTTAAATTTTAAATTAAATTCAAGTAATTGCAAGTGAAGCTCACAAGTCAAGTTCAAGTTCTCAAGTTGTGAGTTTAAGTTATTGAGTTGAGCTAATAGGGCAAGTTCAAATTTAATATATTTGAACTTGATAAAAAGTCTCAACTTAATTTCTTACTCTGAAACATCAAACTCGAATTATAAGTAACTAGACTTTACTCATCGCAACTCATTTACAAGTCCAGGTAGGATTTATGTAATTAACACAATTTTATCTCTACATGTAGTCTCACAATCAATAATTAATACGGTGAACTACTTTTGTTGGATAGGTTGGCTGAATGGATATGCATTTATTAATTGGTTTTTACATGTTGGACAATGCTTTGTTGACAATAATAAATGATAATAAATTCTCACAATAGTCGTAAAATATTTAATAACTAGATGTATATTGGTTCGTGTATCTCTTAAAGCTTAAAGTAGATAATAAGATTATTGTCCTATTTTAAATAATTAATATTATATTTTTTTAATATAATTATCTGTTATAATTTTACATTATATTTCTTTTCAAATTTTTATATTTTTATATTTTTTAATAAATTAAAAAAATTTAATAATCAAGTTAAAATTAAAAAAATATTGTATTATTAGTTAAGGGTATGACAATAATATCACTTTAGATTAAAAAATGTTAATAAAACTATTACTATATCACATTATTAGCATTTGTTGTCAACAAGTAATTTTTAAAATTTGAATTAAAAATTTATCCCTATTTTCACCTTTTAATAATATTGCATTTCACCATAGACAACTCATATATTTTACCATGAGAAAATTAATCATTGACTCATTGTTATGCACAGAGAGTCTGCTTGGAAGAACTTACAAAGTAAATTTGCTTTAAGTAAAATTTTTTCATATAAATTTAAACAATTTTTTAAGGAAAATTTGAAAATTAGTTGTTAAAGTAATTTTTTTTATAAAGTTTGAAAAAATCACACATTCAACCTTTCTTAAAACCCACTAAAAGATCATTTTTAAAATTAATTTTTAAAATTTTCTGTAACTAATAGAAGAAAATTTTGCCTAATTAAAGGAAACGTATTTTTAAACTACCTTCATACTTTATTTTTCCGTGGAATAGTACCAAAATAAATACTCTTTCTATGGAAATGGTTTAGCCGTTTAGCAGGGACAGAGCCAGAAATTGAAGTTGGGGGGCGAGAGGAAAGGTTAAATTTTTTTTATGAGTTATTTATTAGTTTATCTTAATATAATTTAAACTAATTTTTATAACAGACA